AAAATATTCAAAACTATTTTTCTGTTAGCAGCATCTCTTGAAAAAAAAGAACAGATGGTATCCAATGCTATGTTTTACTGTCAATTTGGCAGATGTTATGAGTGGAATCAGCAATTTATTTTTCATTTTGTTTGGCTATTTTTGATAGAAGAATGGGCAAAAAATTTAACACAAGTTTATGGTCCTTTAAACACAGGTCTCCATTTTAAAATACTGTTTATAAGAAAGGTAATTGATAGATAATAACATATTCATTGTGAACTTCAATTACACAAATTATATTTTAGTTTGTGTATTCAGAAGGATCATTTAGAAAATGCTTCATATCTAAATATTAGATCTGCAGAATTTCCCTTTTATTTATAAAAACCTACTTTTCACCATGGGGAACATATAATACTATGTGAGTGATTGCAAAAAATAACTCATAGTTGGAGCTTACAGGAAAAACAGGACTCATGAGTGACCCAGATTATTATTCATTTCTTACATATCCTTCCTTATCCCTCTTCAGCATCTGTATCATATTGAAACACTGTTTTATAAAAGAAAAGATTTGATGCTAAACTTGATTTTTGTCAGATATTTGACTTCTTTTTTCTTCCCCCCTTCTGGATATGTGAGGGGTTTTTTTTATGATGCTATTTTATTTTTTGGTTTGTATTTTAAATTTTAACTGAAGATTATTCTGATTTTCACTTTAGTTACAAAAATAATAAGCATATAGATTAAGCACTAAGTTCAAAATTCCTAAAATACTCTAGAAATCCAAATTTCTAGTTTTTAAATGTGATCAAAACATTTATGCAAATTTCTATTTATTAATTCAGGTGACAGTCGTCTTGGTCCTGCCCCCTTGTGAGGAAGCGTGGCTCCTCTGAGTTTGTCTGTGCATCTCTCCCCAGCTGAGGGCAGTCATCCTCCTGTTCCTTCTCCTCCTTTTGATGATGCTTGAATCTTGTGCTGCTCCTGGTGGTTCTGGTTTAATCATGGCAATTAATCCAGTTGTTTCATCTAAAACGAATATCAGAAGACGCAATTTTATTTACTCTGATTTTCTTTGTCTGCTTTTTTCAAGAAATTCCAGAGACTTACATAGTTAACTTTCTGCACTGACTTTTTTCCAGAAACAGACCTATATGTACTACCTATATAGCAAGGTCAAATTTACAGTTAGTTTGCACTTGATAATCCATGTGAGCTTTAGGTGGAGGGATTGGTTAGTGATGGTAGAGTAGATGGTTCCTTGCCTCTGAGAGAGTGTTCATTAATGTATTAAAATTGCATAAAATACATTTTACTTAAGAAGCCATCTGTTAAAAAATTAAATAAAAAACTAAGGTTCATGTTCTTAAGAAGATCACAAATAAATGTTATCACTGTGTCTGAGGTGAAATACTATTTATAAATAGATGCTTGAAATAATAATGTATCTTAAGTTATTCAGTTACTTATTCAACAAATCATTCTCTGGAATCTGCTGGATTCTATTCTAGGCACTGGGCGCATGATTGATACAAAATATCGTCTCTTCTCTCAGAGTGGAAAATTTAAGAATTAATACAAAAGTGTATATAATATATCAGGCTGAGGTTCTTCTGCTGATAAACATAATTCAAGAATTCCAGTGTGGTTATTTTATATGTAGTGGTTTGGAAAGAACTTGCCAGTAAGGTGACATTTGAGTTGAAGTGATGAAGTAAAACCATGGATATTTGCAAGAAGAGAGTTTTTGACAGAGAAAATGGTGAATGTAAATGCCCTGAGAATAGAAGTTTCTTAATGAATTCAGTGCAGAGCCAGCGGGTCAGTGTGGCTGGAGGAGAATAAGCAGAGAACTTGGGGAAGCAGGTGATGGGAGAGATTGAAAAATTAAGTGATCAGAGTTCATGGTGGGGAGCTGGATTATAAGGGCTTTGATGTTGTTCCCAAGTAGATTTTTAAACACAGATTTAACAATCTAAAATGGTTTTTTATGGAAACACTGTGGCTACTTTATTGAAAAAAGATATTATGAAGGTAAAAGAAGTAAGAAAATAATTGCAAAGGCTGTTAACAATAATCTAAAAAGAGAGGTTGATGGTTTAGAACAAGTATTTGCTGATGGATTTGATATGAAGCAAGCAAGAGAGTACAGTCATGGGTGACTTTAAGATCGCGTTATGGTTTACTAGCACGGGGCTAAGTGGCAGAACTGTGTTCTTGTTGCTGAAAGATCGCCCCCGTCCCTGACGAGCCGAATAACCCAGAGACAAGGTCTTGGAGCTTAGAAGAAAAGAGGCAATTTTATTGCTTTGCTGGGCAAAGGGGACTCACAGCAGGCTGGTGCCTTCAAAACTGTGAACCCGCCTTGGGGATGGGGCAGGTGGTTATACAGCCATAGTTCAAACAATAGAGCTTCGATAACAGTCAACAGAATCATTTTCTCAGAAGACTTAGAATGGCATCCTGATGCCTGCGGCGACCGATTCTATAGAGGCTAGTGGTTGTCGCTCTTTCCATCTCTTTATCTTGTAAGGTACTCAAATTGTGGTCTTCTTGATAATTCAGGCTATTTTGTAAGGTTAAATCCTGTGATCTTTTCCCTGGAGATCGACTCAGAGACCAAGCATGATTATAGCTTTTGATTACTGGAATAAAGTAGAAACAGTAAGATCAATAACTTCAGTTTTAACAATGGGCGTGGAACTGTCAGTAGCAACCTATCAGTCAGGTTAGTTGACCGTTTTAAGGGCAAGCATGAGGATAAGCAATCTGTTAGCCTAAGTGTGGCCATTTTATTAATCCTTCTTTGTTCTTGAGTTATATATGAGCAGAATTGGTGGTGGAGATAGTAAATTCTGCTTTGTCGGTGATAAATTCATTGGGTTATTTTTTAGATAGTAGTCATGGAAGTAGAGATACAGAGGAGAAAATCTGCATTTTGAGTTGGCTAATTACTTTTTCAAAGAGGAGTACTTTAACTTACAGTTAGGTAATTATCTTTTTTTTTTCTTTTGTGTTATTGTCTCTTGGATTAAAGCTAAATCATTACTTCCAAAACAAAATCTAACGCTTTAATAATAACTAATAACTAGGCTTTTGCCCCCACCACCCAAACCCTATTTCCTATCACCCTGTTCTTTTTTTTCAGTTTTTTTTTTTATGGGGGGAGGTAATTAGGTTTATTTATTTATTTCCTTTTAGAGGAGCTACCAGGGATTGAACCCAGGACCTCTTGCATGCTAAGCACACACTCTACCACTTGCGCTACACCCTCCCCTGCAACCATGCTACCACTCTGTTCTTGTGATCATCATTCTTATGGCTTCTTCTTTTTATAATGTATTTTTTTGTATGTATTTCTGTTAAATGTGCTCTAATTGTATATATTTTGTCTTTTATTCGTATTGAGAACATATTGTTAATATATTTGTATATAAGAGTATTTTTAAACTTTAAGAAAAAAGTTTATGGTGTGTATGATCCTCTGAGAATTACTTTTTTCATTTAATGTTAAATTAAGATTTACACAGATTTTTCCATGATACCATTCTTCATTTACTTTGACCAATATATAATATTACAGTTTGGGACTGTAACAGACTATTCACCCACTCTTTAGTCAATAAATGTTTGTATTATTATTTGCAACTGTGACCAACGGTCATTTCAGATATATTACAGATATTTTAGTATAAATCTCCTGTATTGTTTCTTTTGGAAATACACCAAAATATAGAATTTCTGGGTGTTTGGTATCTGAATATTCAAATCTAGGAGGCATGGTCAGTTTTTCCAAATGTATTTTATCAGCTTACTTGCCCATCTGTAAAGCACAAGAAATTATGTGGAACCATGTCCTCTCCAGCAGTGTCTAGTAACAGTCTTTATAAGAAAACTTTGTCAATTAGATGTGTGGTGGTTTTGTGGGTAATTATTAGATTATTGAAAATAATGAATAGACTAAGCAGCTAAATAAAAGCAGGGCGTGTGTGGGCACGTGTTCAGTGTGTCCTGAGCCCAGAAATAATCTGTGCCTCTGCTGTCCAGTAAGTGATTCCTTCAGAATCGAGAGACTGGGTATTCGTCTAAGCACCTACTCTGATAGGTTTTTTGCCTGCTCAAGTCTCACAAAATTGTTTCGATTAAAATGCAGAGGACATCCACATTATTAACATTATCAGCCTGAGAATAATTTCTCAGCCCTCATCTTAATTTAGGAATCAGCAGCATAATTAGATATAGTTGACTCCTCCCTCCTTTTTTTGAACTTCCTTTGATAGAATCACAAAACTCGCCACTTCCCCTGTTTCTCCCGCTGTCCCAGCATCTCTGCTAATTCCCCCTTGTCCTCCTGCTGGCTTCTCTCCTGGACTCCTTTCCCAGTGGCAGAGAACCTCTAGGCTCGGACTTGGACTTCCTCTCTTTCCTGTCTACACTGACTAAGATTTATGTCATTAACTTCCTGGTATTTAATGTCATCTGAGTACTGGTCATGACACCAACACTCTCCAGACCTGTTCTTCCCATGATGTTTCATGGTGACTCCCGTTTTCTAGTTCTTTGGCTCATTATTCTTGGTGTTAACCTTTAACGCTCTCTTTCTCTGTCCCTCAGTCTCACCACCCAATAACTATTATTCCTTCTCAAGTGCAGAGTGCTACTGCGGGAATTTCCTGGGGAAATAGCAAGCATTAGTATAAAAGTTTGTTTCAGGGATCTTCAAAGTTACCGAATAGCCGACTCGATCCTGGTTCAGGCTTTTCTCATTCCCCTTCTTTCAAATTAGTCTCCCTACAGCAACTACAGTAGGCAATTAAAAATCTAAGCCGTCTCATGACACTAAAAAAGAAACAAATAAAAATAAACCACTTCAGTGGCTTTTCACTCAAGTAAAACCCAAAGTCCCTAGCTTGGCCTACAAGACCCTGTTGGATCTGAAATCCTTTTAATTCTTTGATCTTCACAATTCCTACTATTTTTTCTTATTTTGTTTAATTCTTTTTTTCCCACCTTAGACTTGAACTTCGTGAAAGTGAACAGCTTTTCCTGCTTTTATCTCCAGGAGTTGAAGTCATTTGACAGGTGGTAAGTGCTCAGTAAATATTTTCAAAGAAGTGAATTACTTAAAATATTTTTTCTTCAAATGTATGTTAAAGGCTTTTAGAAGTTACATCTTTTATTCAAGAGAAAAGATTAGTCTAGAGAATCCTTTTTGTTTTGATTTTGTTGTTTTTAATTAGATTAGCTCTGCTGCTGTAAATTTTAATGTGGGAAACTGTAAATATTTCATAAATTTAAAAAAATGCATAGGACTGAAACATCTGCTCCTTTTATTCAAAAAGGACAAAAGAAAGACAGACTTATCTTCTGTTTCTTATTTTGAATATATGTGATGTGGAATCTAAATTTTTCTTCTTCAACATCTAAGCAACTCTCCCTGAATGCTTTTTAAAGCAGTTCTTCATTTCCTCGTAATTTTTTGGTGAATTCACTTCAGAGATAAAAATTTTAAGTGTATTATCACTTGCTTTTAGAATATCTTGGGTTCCACTAAATGGCTTGCAAGATAATTCAGCATTAGCAGTAGAATTTCTTCATAAACAACCTTTGATTTGTTAAATTTGTAGACTTCCTTCTCTCACACCATGATTTCATTCAAATGTAATAAATCTTACTTGACTTTTCTGGGGTGTTTATATCATATGTTATTGAATTTGATTTGTTGATCTTTGAATCAGGAGTTTGTACCTGTGCTCTTGATTACATTGGTCTGTAGGATTCTTTTTTTTTTTTTTTTTTGATTTAATTCTGTTACTGTTTCTTCATTAGTTTTGTTCTGCTGCTGTACATTTTGATATTGGAGTCTTCAAAAGAATTTGTACATTTTAAATTAAAATTGTAATTTAAATACCTATTCCATGAAATTTGGAAGAAATTTTAATACCATATGACTCAGAGTATATTTTTTTAAGTAGTAATGTAAGGGTATATTTAATTTCTTCCATTTTGTATTAAGATAAAGATCAAATTTTTAATTTTTAATATATGAAATACACTGCTTTTCATTCAGATAATCTTTCATAACAGAAGGTAAATATTTACTTTTTCACTTGAAATAAATATGGTTAAGTTGAAAGGAAATGTGGTTAGTGTTTGTTTGATGGCTTCTAATTAAAAAAATAACATAAAAAAAATAACACGTGAAAGAGCAGTGGTCATGGGCATTTAGTCCACAGCAGGGAAGTTTACCCTTTTCTGCCTGGAATAGCACAAATAAGTAGACCAAGATTATTCCACAGGAATATATATCAAAATATAGCATGGAATTATATTTTAAAAACTAAAGTTGCTTTTAATGTATTTATGTGAGAACAAAGGAAGAGCATAAGAAATATACTTGTCGTGGGTACTTTTGGAGGATGTTACATCAGCTACCAACAAGCACAAGAGAGCAGGTGTGAGGTGTGAAAACTCATGTGGCTCAGAGTGGACAGGGCCTCCCAGTCTGAGGACAGCCTCAGTCTGCCTGCTACCTCATCAGGACATGGCCCTTGGCATAAAGGATATTATTATTAATGAGATTCCAAGTGTCAGTAAGAAAACAAACTGCTGCTGGCCTCCAAACAGAATGATTGGATTATCATGCAATATACTGTGTGCCTTTTATAACATGTGCAATTGTATTATCACTCTGTAAGTTTTAAAATTTATTATATTTAAAACTAAAAAAATTTCAGATTTTAAATAAAATCAGTATCTGAGAAATATTTCGATACACACCACTATATATGTATGTGTGTATAAATAAATATGAATAAAAGTGTGTATGTATGTGCATATATATAATTACATATATATATAATTATATGCATATATATTTATATATATATGCACTGATACACGTATTTCTGTTCCCTAAACGTTTCCCTTAGGCAACCTAGCGTTCTTCTCATATTTGTAATTGAATTTTCTCTATATTAGTTTGGGCTTTCCATCTCTGGCATTAGGCTACACAAATAAATAATAAAAGAAAAATATCGTAACACTTTTACTTTAATAAAGGTTTTTTTTTGAAGCCTTCCAGATAAAAATACAAACTACTGAAAAAAAATTCCACTTTCAAAATAAAGAATAAATGGTTAAGGTAATTTCCTCATTACCTCTGCACCCATTATATCAAATAAATTTCATTTCCTACAATATTTTATTGAGAGCATAAACTTCCCAATATAGGAGTTTTATTGGCATGTAAATAGTGAAGGTTATTAATGTTAATGTCACATGAGACTATTAGCAGGCGAACAAAAGCAAGAGCAGCCTTCAAGTCCTAAACCTTATAAGATCACGTATATAATGACACGGAGGTGATAGAGACAGATATTAACATCATTTGGAAAACAGTTTTCATTTATAGTAATAAGAACAAACTATTCAGGTGTTGGTGGTCTTAAATATTGTTTTCCACTGGGGTCCACATCTTTGCAGGTGAGAAGAAAAGTGAGCGAGGGAGGCTTGAGAGAAATCGCCATTACTATTCCTGAACAGTTTAGCCAGAGAAATATGAGGGACTAGAGGAGGATCACACAAGTCACTTTTTTTCGAGGAAGGAATCTCATAAATTCGGTTGTATACTTTCAGTATAATTATAAATTACTTGGTTTAAAGTCAGATGTGATTATTAAATATACCTTAATATTTATTGTCTTTTACCAAATTACATAAATTGTCTCTAGTTAAGTTTTTCTGTTTTGTTTCAACTTGTTTTTTTTTCATAATAAGAATTTGTTTTTTGCAAATCCAAGAATTTCATTATAGAGATTTAAAGGCATTCCAGGTTAACCTGGTTTATCAAACATGCACATAAAATCAGAGGAAATATGTGCAATCAATGTCAGGCATCAAGGATACCAATCAGGGTCACATTGACATATTTTATGTCCAGTTTGTGAGCAAAGATGCCAGTAAATTCTGACAGGAAGCAGCAGTACTTTTGCTAAATTGCTGTAATAAATTGTTAAGCTCTTTTAAAAGCTGGGAGGTGTCGTGGGTGGGGGGATGTGTAATCCTGAACTTTATAACTCGTGAAAATTAGCTATAAATTTAGGAAATGAAAGGAACAGCAAGAACAAGGGGTGGCTTTTTTTTTTTTTTTTACAAACTACACTTGGAAAGTATTTAATCTTCATTTATAAATCCTTTAAAATAACATTTAATTCGCTAGCATACATTCTGATAAAAGACAGCAGTGGGGTTAAAATATTTTTCTGTAAGGTAATATATTTTAATATATATCGTTTAATTTTTTCTTTTTGTTTCAAGCCATCTGTTAATTGTGAAATAAGTGACCTATATAAATATAAATGTTCTCATAATTAAAACATGCAACGAATACCGTTGTAAAAGGTAGAATGTAACTTTAACTTTGACTCTGTCTCTATATAGAGAGACCCTTGTAAGAAAAGATAATATATCCATATGTATGTGAATTTTAGCTTGTAAAATAGGGTTGAATATGTCTCAACACATACTTTACTAATTATTTGTGTTACGCCATACTGAAAGGATGCATCTGGTTAATTTACTATGTGTGGGTCATTAATTTACCATATGTAATGAATTATGGAATGAAAGGATATGGTATTTATAGATAAGGAAATTAAGTACTAAGGATGTTAATTTACTTTCCTAATATCAAATTACCTATTCTCAGAGCAGGACATAGAATATATAGCCTAATGCCCATTTTTCAACTCAGTATTTTATTCTCACATTCTAAATGACAATTTGAATAATTTAAATAATATTTTAAAATTCTATACTTTAACATAATTTAAAAAAGTAGTGTGGTAAACATTTTTATATCATTTGAAAATATTTCTTTTTAAATCCCCTCTGTTTTACTTCACGTGAGTTGCAAACATAATACATAAATATGTTTTTCTGGTAAAAGCAAAAATATTATGGACAATTCTAAAGTTTATTTTTGCCCTCTGTTCCCTGTGTTTTCCTCTCCACAAAAGTATCTCTTTCCAATTACTATGGCTGAATAATGTACAAGTCCAAAACTTAGAAAGGCTTAGAACAATGACAATAATTTGGTGGTTGTTCACAAACTTGAAATTTTGGCAGCGTTGAGAGCAGATGTTTAAAGACTAGGGGCTAGAATCATTTGAGGCTAGATTAACATCTGGTCTTTGCCTTTGCGTGTGGATTGAGCTTCCTCACAAAAAGGTTGGTCAAAGTCGACTGCTGTGAAAAAGAGAAAGCCGCACAGAAATGTTATCTCCGTGTATAGCTTAGCCCTGAGAATCAGATAGTATAATTTGTACCACATTCCCATCAACACAGAAGTCACAAACTACTCCTAACAGTGGGTGGCAACTCTATGGAAGTTCATGCGAGACCATGCATACTATGTCGTTGTGATTGGAAAAGTCATTTTGGCTCAGTTCATCCTCTGATCACAGCAATTTACATTTTCCCAACAAACAAAATGCAATATCGCTCTCTCAAGACATACCAAATTCTCATCCCATCTTGGCACCAGTCTCAGGTTTGAGGATCAAGAACTCATCACCTAGATCAGGTCGGAGTGTATATGAGGCTCCTTGACTGTAATTCCTTAGGGACAGATCCTTACCTGTACTCCCCCCACCCCAATCTGAAAAACCTGTGACCAAAAAACATGTGACATGCCTTTCACACGTCCAGCACATAAGAGTGAGAAAAGGCTTAATAAAAACACCAGAGATTCTTCCACTGAAAAAGAAAACTAACAAGAGGTACACGTAAGTCACTGGTTCATATCGATTCTGAAATCTAGGCAGGTGTATATTGGCTTAATTAATTCTGTTGCTTGAGACTCACTGTGACTCTTGTCTCTTGGTTTTTGATTTCTTCGTCTGAGACATTCTTTCCTTTATATAAAATGTATCAGTGGTTTCAGTTAAGTAATTTTCTCTATTTGGGTCCTCTGTCTTCTGGATCACCTAGAAGAAACAATGTTGAAATTAGTTTAAAAAAGGAGGGGGTGGATTTTAGAACAGATACCATGATGAAAAGGTTCAGTGACACAAAGGAAGATA